GATTTCTGCTCTATTAACCTACATGTATCTATAAATCTGGGTTGATAGTCTAAAATACTGTTAATTATTCTTTTTGGATGTTCTTCCAGGTTCCTGTATCTTTGCTCAATGTGTTTTTGAATTTTTTTCCCTTTTTCTTTCTTGACTGTGAACTTGGCTATTTTGTTCTCTATTTTCCAGATCTCTCTTGTTTCAGATAGTCATCTGTGAAGTTCATCTTTATTATTCATTTGGATTTGCTTTGATAGGAGTGGTTCTATTACAAAGTTCCTTGTTACATTGATTTCTTGTACCAGTTCTGCAATCTGTGCTTCTATAGCAGGTATGTGTGTGTTTAAATTTGTTTGCTATGTCAAACATTTTCTATATAAACTACCAATCTTGAGTAGTCTCTGCATGAATTTTTTGTATTTGGATTTGTGTATGGTACTGATGTTTTTCCTTCTTTATTTTTTCTTCAATAAGGTTTCTGCTGCTGTTTTGATTAATTCTTTGAGATGTTACCATGTTTCTTCTATTGTTGTAGGGTCTTTTTTGAGGAATTTTGTTGCTTTTTCCTCTATTTTCCTAGTAAACCTTATCCATTGTTTGGGGCTAGAGTTTGTATAGTCAACGATATTCGGTCTAGTGTTTTTTCTATTTGATAACTTACTTTATGATGTGTGGAGTGTGGTAAGGTGTGTGACTACCATTTTGTGATCTATTTTAATTACTGTTTTCACTTCTATATGTTCAGCATTGATAATGTATGGTTGTAATGGACTGGAGACCCATATATAGTCCAATCTACTCCCATAATTTGATTTTGTTCTAGTGTATATGTAGCTTCTTTTATCAAGGTGGACTTGTCTGAATGTATCTATGAAATCAAAAGTCTCTAGTGAGTTGATAAAGTACTTGAGCTTGACTCCTTTGCCTTTTTCTGAGGTACAGTCCTTTTGATAGTTGCTACTTTATTGAGATCACCCATTACTATCACATACATGTTGTTGCTTTTTGCCTCACTGATCTTTGCTTTGCCCCATTGTAAAAGTTTTTTCCTATCTTGTTTGTTGATCCCATCTGATGAATTGTATATTGTTATTATTTTGTATTGAATTTGCTCTTTGAATACCATATCTACTGCAATTCTTCTATTGATATATTCCTCAAACTTGAAAATATGTGTTGCCCATTTTTTCTTTATCAAGATGCTGACTACTGCTCCGTAGGCCAGTTATATTGGATTTGTTGATCAAATTTAATATCTGCCTTCTTTGTCATGCTATTTTTTGTTTTCTGGGAGCCAGGTTTCTGTGAGCCCTAGAATATCGATTTGTTGTTCTTGTCCATATTCTAATATTGCTAATTTATCTGTTTTTGAGTTAATTCCTCTAATATTTGATATTCATATTTTCCAGATGTTGAATGGTTCATTGGTATTAAGTTTTCCTATATTTTGCCTACTGCAGGCTTGGTTTCCTGACTTTTCCCTAATTATAATTGTTCAAGAGAAAGGAAGGGGTCAATTCAGGAATGCTAGTTGTATTGGTAGGTGTGTCCAGACAGTCCATTATTTCTTTCATAGTAGATATCATTGTGGATTCCATTTGATTCTTTCATTTATTAATCTCTATTGTTGTCTAATGTTCAATCTTTTTGGTGATAGAGTTTGGAAGCTTGAACTTCCAGGTAAGAGTTTATTTTGGAGGGAAGAGTTTGTGATTGCTGGCCCTTTAGCTTTTATATAAGAACCTGCTTCGATCACTGTGACTTTCTTGTTTAGGATATGCACTTAATGTTTAATGGCTTCTAAGTCTATTTGGATTTGTCTGAGAATGTCTAATATGTTTTCCCTGTTTGCAGTTGTATGGAATCCTCTTGTGACACTAGCATATATGCGTCTGGGGATGGAAAAGTTGAATGTCGTTCTCTTGTCTTACTTGATTGGAAAGTATTCTCTTGCATTGTTTAGCTAAAGCCTTGATTAACCCAATCTGTTGATTCTTTCCCTTGATGTTGGATTCTTCTTTTCAGTTGGGCAATGAATATATTCATGGTCATGGGCTTTACAGTTGAAGCAGAGTTTCGTTGTTCTTGTAATCCAGACCAATTCACTGTCCTGGAGGTGAAAGTTCATGCCTCGTGCTTTGTTAAGATTTCTGTTATCCTTGCAGTATAGAATAGCAAACCGCTTGTTTTTATTCGAGAGTTAAGGGGAAGTATACTGCTTGAGCTATTGTCTGTTCAATAATCTCTTTTAGTTTTTTCACCAAAGTTTTCAAGGGGAGATTGGCAAGTGTTGCGCTATACTAATTTCTTTTCTCTCTTGTAATATGGGTTCTGATCATTGGGTAAATCCTCATACAGAAGGTATCTTTGTAGATAGCCCACTTCTGGACCTGTTCCTCGTATTCTTCCCTTGTTCTGAACTGGATGATTCCAGATTTAACTTGTCCTGCTAGTTGCAGTGTTATATATTCGATCTGAGTTTTGTTTTGAAATAGGTTTGCGATATCCCTTTTTTGGAAGTGATTGGGAATGCCCCAAATTCTAATGAATCAGACTTTGCATTCTGTGGTACCGAGTTGAGGTGCTAATCTAAATTTGGGAGTCTCATTGTCAGTAATCTGAATCTCGCATATAGCAATAACCTCATAATAATTATCGAAAATGGCAGTGATAGTTGGAGATCCAATTGGCTCTTTTATTCGAATATGTTTCAGGATTGATAGATGCCCAGTTTGTCACAAACTTGATGAATTTTTTCTTCAGTTGAGAGTCCCGGCAGTTCTTTCATGTCGATGTAAACTTTTCCTGGATAAAGTGTATCAAGGTTTTCCTTGGAAGTTGTTCATTCTGTTGCTATAAACCTCAGTCTTTGTTCTCTTTTGTAACTGTATTGGTTGTTGATGATATTATCTATGTCATTGAGAGTCTCTTTCTCTTTTTTAAATGTCGCAGTTGTTGAAACTACTGTTACTGATGATGGTAATCTAGATTTCATATTAATTTCTATCATTGTTTTGATGATTTCCATAGTGCTCTCCTCAGAGTTTGTACTGTTGTCTTGTTCTTTATTCTCGAACTCCATGTTTTCATCTTGGTTTTGGATGAGGTTCTATGTAGTTGCTGAAACTGTTACCTCCTTTTCTTTGTCTATTATTGTTTTGTTTCTCTTGGCACTGGTAATTGGATTGAATTTGTTTGATATATTGGTCTTCAGAAACAGTTTTACAATTTTACTACTACCAGTTATGATTCTTTCGTGGTATAGTTGACCACAGTGTCTTTGATTCTAGAGGACCTTCTGAACATATTTGTTAAAGGAGCTCTTTGCGAGCATTGAGTTTTTTCTTGTAAACTTTGGGTTGTTACTATAAAAGAAAATTTTTATGAATTTGATATGAGTGGAAAAGAGTTTTTTTTTTATCAATATAAACTATAATATAATATATAATATGTAATTTATATTATTATAATTTAATTAAAAAGAAGTTGAAAGAGTTTTCACCTGAGCCTCTAACAGAGTGATAAATCACTTCGGAAGTTGCACTTAGAGAGATAATATAACCAAAATAAGTGGGTTAGTTAGAGATTTAGCTTTAGTATTTCATTTAATAGGTACAGCTTATAAATGTTTAATAAAGTATATATAACTAACCTGACAGAAGGTAAAAAAAAAAAAAAAAAAATTATTATAATTTAATTAATTGTATAATATTATATAAATAATGTCAAATAATTTATAAATATGAATGATTTTTTTTGCAAGTTTTATAAATTTTTGTTAAATAATAGTTAAATAGTTGTGAATTTTATTAAATAATTAATGAACTTTTAAATGAATAGTTTTAATAGATAGTTATAGATTTTTTAATGAATAGTTGATAAATTTTTAATGAATAGTTGATAAATTTTTAATGAATAATTTTAATAAGTAGTTATCAAATTTTTAATGAATAGGTTTAATAAAATATTAATAATTTTTCAATGAATAATTAATAAATTAATATTGAATTTTTATTGAATTTGCCAGTAAATAATTTTTAGACAAATTTTTATTGAATTGTTAATAAATTTTTACTAAATAGTTAATGAATTATTTGATAAATTTTTAATAAATTTTTTGACAATTTTTTGTTAAACTTTTTAATGGATTTTTGATTGATAAAATAGTAATATGCCAAGTGGCAGTAATCAAAAAGAATTTAGCAATAATTCAGCTGTCAAAGATATAATTTTGACTAGTGATATAATTAGAAGTAATATGCTTTATTTTAATATAGAATTAATCTTATATTTGTATTTAATTTTTATATTTTTGGACTTGTTTTATAGTTTTAATGTTGTGTCTTAATAGTTTTAGAGTTGTTTATTTATTTATTTTAATATGAAAACCAAAAGATAAATATGATTTTTCAAACAGGAAAAGGTAGAGATAAAAGCAAATATTGATTTTGTATTTTAAGGAAATTTGAGTAGTTTCAGTAATCCATGAATGTTTGAAGTCTTGAAGTTGGCATATGAGACATGACAAAGTTGCAGCACAGTCTTGGATTGATAAGATTTCTTGTTTAGAGTAGAAATTCTTCTATTAGACAGAGTAGTAATATATTACTTAAAAATCCACACCATCAAAATGCGATAATTATAATACATGAGTGAGCCTTTTTTTTTTAAAAAAAGATCAATTATTCCAATAAGTTTATTTTATTTGTTTTGTTCTATTTCTTTGCTTGAAAAAACTTTTTTTTTTCTCTTTTGAAGATGGTTATATTTACAGATTTGAGTAATTATATCTCGGAAGTCTATAACGATCGAGCGTGATTTAATAAGGCTGAACTTAGTCCCATGATCATTACGCCTAGGAAAAAGTAGTGTGTTACCAAAACGCCGTTGGATTTATCGTGCTTTATAGCTGGCGGTAGCATTCCCTTAAAGGATGAAAAGAATCAATTTTCTATTAGAATCACAAAATGGAAACTGCGAAAATTCACCGAGTATGATGAGGAAGGTACCTGAATGCATATGACAGCCATCAAGCCACCGGTGGCTCCAAACAAGGCACCATACACGAAGTCATGATTCCAGCATTCTGCCTCCGATCTTTTCAAAAGTAGCCAACCAACGAGAGCACCCAGCGGTTGACTCAATCCACCCAATAGACTTGCATACAAGAAACTTTTTGCTCGTGACTGTGTGGCCAGGTATAGTGGAAGGGCCATCGTGAATCCTTCGGAGATGTTGTGAAGAGCGATGGCAAAAAATAACGCCACTCCCACTGATGACGATACCTTCGAGCTGATGAAAGTTACGAGGCCCTCTGCAGGATGGCATTTCGGTTAAAGTTGTTGGTATTAAACGGGGTATGTTAAAAAAAAAAAAAAAAAAAGAACATTTAACATTTGCAAAAATCATACCGGGAAATTTATGAATGGAAATAGCCAAGGCTGTCTGAATGCCTATGCGCATCAACTGAGATTTTTCCTGCTCCAAAAGGTAATTACTTTGATCATTTTCGTGAAGATAGCGGAAAGGTTTGAGTACGGGAGAAATAGATTCATCGACATCAACCTCCACGAAAGTCGAATGCTCATTTGACCTGTCTTCCTCACAAAAGTCACGAATATCATTCAGACTAGTGGAATCCCTTGGAAGGTCATCATTTGACCCATTATACATCATACTGGTCATGTGACCATTCTGTAACAAGGGTGAACTTTCGTCGTTTTGTGATGATAAGGGATTGCAGTTCTTTGTGGATTCCTTACAAGCAGTGCCAGGTGGGGGACCGTAATGGTGCGAGTGTAATGTGGAGTCTTCAGGTATGAATTGATGAATAATGTAATTGATTAAGATTGAACCAATTACACCAGCTAAGTAAAAGCTAATCATGTAGAGCTCGGAGTAAGATTCTGAAGAGTTAGCCTTATCGAAGTATCGTTTCGATTCGTTCATCAACGTGCGAAAGCTAGAATAAAACTGTGTTCCGAAGGGTAAAGAATATTTCAGGCCCAAGGAAGGAAAAAACGAGAAGTGATAAAGTATACAAAACTACATAAATACCATCACACCAGCTCCGAGTGATAGGGACGCCACCAAGACGTTCGAGTTTTGCGTCAATTGTATATCACGAATACACCAAAACTTTCGAAAGAATATATCCGAATACACCGCTGAAGCTTCGTATACAAAGAAATGGGGGTGGAAATGTATTATATGGAAGGTTTAAAATGGAGAAAGAGGCAAACGAAGAGGAACCACCTTGAAGTCCGAAAGATATTTAACACCTACCACCTATGCAACATGCTAAACTTGACGCAAATGTCAACACCCAACCTTGGAAATTGCTGCCTTCGGGCACACCACATTCACTTGTATTGAACATAGTGAGATGACCAAAAGTTACTGTATGTAAGAAAAGAGTGGAAACTCGGGGAGCATACGCCAAAAAAAAAAAAAAAATGAAATGAAAACAAAAAATAAGGAAAAGGACTATAGCCAAAATGTTGAGTATTATTAAGCTCTGATTACACTCCTCAAGTGAACGTAGGAACCTTGAAGGTACACACTGATAAGTACCTTAGCGGTGACCAACGCAAGATCTATGTCTGTGTCACTTTGTTGAAATTAGAAATACCACCTTGCATAAATTCCCCGTGTCACACGAAGACAGTCACGATTTTTCATGCGGTGGCTTCTGATACTCAAAAATAATACAGTACAGTATTAAGAATTTAAAAAGACGATCGTAAACGTACACGTATGCACACACGTACGCATGTTTTTGGTCATTAATTAAAACTTTTTTATAATCGAAAATAGTCTGATATAAAGGACCTATCGCCAATGAGATCCAGGAGAAAGAATACGCACGCACCCTCTAGACTGTATTATTAAACAATTTACGCTGTACGCCGGATCTCGTTTCCTAATTAATAGCATTTATTTTCAACGACCCTTTCATAAAAAATATCTTAGCAGGCAAATGCGCATATGTTTTATATTGCGGAGAAAGAACTTTGGGATGTTCGTTGAAATAATATTGAACATCACTTCCCAAGTTGGCGTTTGAGGGAAGTTACACAGGGCACGTTGCGCAGTGTAGTGTACCATACAAATGTCAAAAAAAAAAAAATATTGTTGTCAACTAGGTATCACATGCAATATAAGTAACATCTCTCTATACATCCATTATCTCAACTCTTCTTTCAATAGCACTGCGTATTGATTTACTTTGAGCTTTTGCATGATTTTCGTTGTGTCCTGGTGGAGAAAAATCAATTCGGAAAATCAAAATTCATTTTAACGCACGCTATAGGTGTTTCGAATTACTTAAATAATAAATAAAATAGAAAAATGATGAGTTGATTGAATTGAAGACACAGCCTACCAATTCTTATCATCATTCTCATTCTAGGCTAGTTCATAATAATTCCCTCTTTCCTTCTCATTGTCATCGAGCTTTTATCCTATTTAGCCCTTTTAATTAACTCAAAGAAAAAAATTTTCTTTCTTTAACAAATAAATTAAACGAACTCCATCAAAAAAATTCTCTCAACATTAAAAAAACTCAAAACGATATCGTAATGGCTGCATTACGCATAATACGATACAAAAAAGTCCAAAAATGGTTTGATTTCAAATACCTAGAAAAGCTATTCTTGTTCACCTGTTTTCTACAAGCCGTACTGAACACGCTCGTATTCATGCACGTTAATCTTTCGGAAGCCAATGCGTCATTCTCCTACCGTTTGCTATTTTTGTTTTGGTTGTTTTTTGGGGTGACGGCTGGTATGGCAGTAAGTTTATATTTATTCCTCGGCCTTTCCTTTCTCGGAGAAAACGTTAAACTAATTGACTGAAATCATCTCAATTCATTCATACATGCATCACAGCTTCGTTACAAATCTTTAAGACGCGGCGTGATCTTCTGCTTAATTAACCTGATCTTCATAGCCTCCTTGAAAAGACTAATCCAGTCGATACGAGAATTATGTGGACAAATATATTGTACAACAAATGAATTGGCCGTTTACCTTGAATTAAATCTTACCTTGGCACTGTCGGTGTTATTTATGGGACTATATTGCGTCCTGGTGAGGTTGTTGTGCAAACGTGGGTAAGTTGTAGGCAAAGATGGGATTTTTTTTTTTTTTTTTTCTATCCATTAACAATTATCTACTGTTACAAATCAGACATTGGACATGATGAGCAAACTAACTAGATCACAAACATTATTAAGCAACAAATGGGGTCATTGCGATATTGAATGGATACGACAAGCAACAAGGATCTTTAAGATTGTAGATCGTAGATTGAGTTTATTGAGGAGGAAATCCAAAATTCATGTTTTATTTAGAAACAGAAAAGCATAAAGTCAGACAAATCTCTTGAAGGCTAACTGGAATTAATTATTCTAATTGGTTATTTATTTGTTTTTAAGACCAAGTTTTGTATTTTCGCTCAGTAATATAGAAAATCATTGTTATTATTAGAAATTTCGCTTACATCACGACAAAGTGTCAATGCAATTGGTTATTAACATGGATTATAGAATAATATTTGCACATAATATTTTATTCGCCATTTTTAAATTCACCAAACATGGTACGGATTAAATCAAAACCTTTATGCATGCAATTCTTGTAATTTACAGTATTCTTGCTCATAGTAACGCAGATAAAATAAATTTGCACGTGTAAATCTTTTAATCACATTTAATGAGGTAGTTTTTAAGTAATGAACGATAAAGATTATCACGGACTATGGATATTATTTCGTTTCATCAATCTACATATTGTGTACTTTATTGATTCTTTTTAATAAAAATTAAATTAATCAAATTTATCAATACATTGTTGTATTTTTTATCATTCAAAATTGTTTATCATAATACAATTTAATTGTTAGAAAATACAAAAAATTTTTTTCTTTTTTTTTTTTAATGCTAGCTTATCCTTGTGCCAGTGTGAACTTTATTATAATAAAGATATAATCTAGAGACAACTGGAATGAATAATTATCCATACTGTCTAAGGATTTACAGATCATAAAACAATACAAAGAGCTATTTATTTACATTTCATTCAGCCAGGATAAGATAATTATATAATTGTCTAGATAGATTATTTCTTTAAAATAACAATGTTAAATCTAATAGGAAGTGTAAAGATTATACTATACTAGTAATTACAATGCATATCAACACTTTTTAAAATTTATCTATCAGATAGTTTATTGTTACTTTGGATAAAGTATGATCAATGTATCAAAGATTTGTCTAAGATACTTAATATCACTAGTATTGAAAATTTCTTATATAGAGCCTTAATTTTATTAACATTAAAAAATAGAAAAATAAAAATAATATAAAAGAACTGCTAAATTAAAATCTAAAATTTTTTACTATCAACTATCAATCAAGAATCAATATCAAGAAGAAAATCAATACTTATAAATTATTCATTGAAATATCATATTTCTTTATCTTTAAAAGTAAAAGTAAAAATTTTTTTACTACTTTTTCTAATTGAGAAAAAAAAAAATAGTTTTAAAGTTTAAACTAAAATTTTTCTAAGGAACTACTTATTTAAAAACTTAATATAACTTATACCTAAAAGAATATAGTAGAATTGATAATTTAATCTCAAAAATAATATTAGATTCAAATATAAATTATTTATTTAAAAAGATATAATGCCTTCAAAAGTAGGTTAAGTCTTTAGAAAATCTTCTATTCTGATAATAATTTTTTATTAATATTCTTATTATGAATAAGAATAGTAATATTATTACAATTTAAATAGCTATACTGGAAAGAAAGTTATATTAAAAGTCTTAATAATAATTTTTAATTTATAGTTCATTTACAAATTATAAATTAGGAATAAAAAATCTACTAGTTAAAAAAAACTTACTATTTATCTTATTTGTTTTTATAAAAATTAAATAGATTTTTACCTATATATAAAAGCCAAATAAATCTATTTGATTATCAAAAATAAGCAATTTTAATATTAAAAAGAATTAAAGTATCCTATAATCTTTACTATATTAAATAAACTTTTTTTTTTATAGCTATGATATTTTTAGAAAAAATAAGATAAAAAAAATTATTATTTTATAATATTTATTTATTCATATACTTTTTTTTTTTTTTTTAAATCCTTAGTCAGGTTAAATATATGTACTTTATTAAACATTTGTATACTTTACAGTTAAAATGTTTTGCTAAAGTTAAATCTCTACTTAACTCACTCATTTCTATTTTATGAAATTTTTAAAACTCTAAGTATAACTTCAGAAGTAATTTATTGCTCCATTAGTAGTTCAGGTAAAAACCCTTCCAATTTCTAACTTCATAGCCTACAGATCACTACTGTAGAAATATCCTAGACTTATTTATCCACATATAGTATAGCACTATAACTTATAAATATATAGTTGCTTTTAAAAATTTGAGTCTACTTACTAAATTTCAATTTTGCCAAATTTTAAATTCTTAATTATATAATTTTTTTTTATTGAGAGATAACTAAGTCTAATATCATTAAAGTTATAATTGCAACTATATATAAAAAAATTTGTTTATATATGCAACTATTATATATACATTAAAACTATCTATATAAATCCATTTTATATCAACCAAGGTATTAAAACATCTATTTGTAGGTAATCCCATCTATATATAATAATGGGCTCCTAAAGTATTTAATATATAAAATTTTGCAGATCACTTATGTCCCTTTTTAAGAAACAAAATTCATAGCTTTTCACTTTAATAGGGACAAAAGTTAAGAAATACTATAAATCAATGATTTGGATAATAAAAAACAATTATGAGTAGTTTTTTTGACCTATGGGTCAATAGTGCAGTGATTAGCACTCCATAGGTCAGATCGCAAGATGCAAGTTCAGATCCTCCAGGGGACAATGCTTGAAGTTTGGAAGAA